AGAATTGCTTTTGCTATTCTGGGTCTCTTCTTGTTCCAAATGAATTTTTGGACTGTTTTCTCAAGGTCCGTGAAGTGTGCTGCTGGGATTTCAATTGGGGTTGCATTAAATCTATAAAGAAGTTTTGGAAGTATGACCATTTTCACTCTATTGATCCTTCCTACCCAGGAGCAGTGGTTGTCTTTCCGTTTTCTGATATCATCTTCAATCTCCCTTTTCAGAGTGCTATAGTTTTAAGAGAAGAGGTCTTTGATTTATTTCATTAGGTTGATTCCTAGTTATTTCAGTTTTTTGGATGCTATTGTGAAAGGAAGTGTTTGACCTATTTCTCTCTCAGTGAGTCTGTTGTTCATGTAGATGAAAGCTATTGATTTTTGTGTGTTGAACTTGTATCCAGCTACTTTACTGAATTTGGTTATTAAGTTATGAAGTTTTCGTGGTTTCTTTTGCTATTGATCTCCAATTTCATCACACTATGGTCTGATAATATACATCGTATAACTTCAATTCCTTTGTACTTACTTAAACATGTTCTGTGAGTGAGTATGTGGTCTGTTTTAGAGAATGACCCATGTGCAGCTGAAAAGAATGTGTATTCTGATTTTGTAGGGTGGAACACTCTGTAACCATCTATTAAGTTCATTTGTTCAAGAGTTCAATTGAGTTCTAGTATTTCATTACTTATTTTTTGTTTAGTTGATGTATCTATTTTAGACAATGGGGTATTGAGGTCCCCCCACTACTATTGAATTAGTGCATATATGACTTCATGTCCATTAGTATTTGTTTTATATAGTTGGGTGCACTAGTGTTTGGTGCATAGATATTTATGATTGTCATCTCTGCCTCTTGGATGGTACCCTTTACAAGGATGTAGTGTCCTTCTTTGTCTCTCTTAATCAGTGTGGGTTTGAAATCCACTTGATCAGCAAAGAGGATAGCTACTCCTGTTTTTTTTTTTCTGGTTCCTGTCACATGGAGTATTGTTTTCCATCCTTTAACTTTCTGTCTGAGTTTCTTTTTGAATTAAGCGTGTTTCTTGTATGTAGCATATTGTTGGATTTTGCTTCTTGATCCAATCTGTCAATTTCTTTTGATTAGTGAACTGAGACCATTAACATTGATGGTTATAACTGATACATATTGACTTATCATTGTCATGACTTTTTCTTTTTGTTGGATTCCCCCCCTTTACATTTAATTTCTTGTTACACCCAGTGGATTCATTCTGCTGTGCTTCCTGGGGCTGTAATCCTCATTGTCTGTTCCTAGGATATTATCTAAAATTTTTTGGAGTGCTGGTTTGGTATTCATGAAGTTCCTAAGGTGCTCTGTGTCATGAAAGTATCTTATTTCTCCATCAATTTTGAAAGATGGTATTGCAGGGTACATCAGTCTGGGTTGGAGGCTGTTTTTCTTTAGGGCTTGGAATATGTCACTCCAAGCTCTTCTTGCCTTGATGGTTTGTGTTGAGAAGTCTGCTGTGATTCTGATAGGCTTTCCTTTGTATGTGATTTGTTTCTTTTCTCTGACTGCTTGGAGAACTTTGTTCTTCTGTTGTGTTTCTGGAATCTTAACAATTATATGCCTTTGTGTAGATTTTTTTTGATCAAGGCTATTTGGAGTCCTATATGCCTCACTTATCTGTATGTCAAGTTCTTTTCCCCTGCTTGGGAAGTTTTCTGCCATTACTTCTGTGAACAGGTTTTTTATGTCATCTGTACGCTCTCCTCTTTCTTTGTTGACTCCAATCCGTCTTATGTTATTCTTCTTTGCATTGTCTAGCATCTGCTCAATTGATTTTTCATGGTCCCTTATGATTTTGAAGCAATTTTTCTTTTCCTGGTCACTAATTGCAATCTTATCTTCTATATTTGAAATTCTTTCCTCACATTGGCTCATTCTGCTGTGTAGACTTTCAATGGAATATTTAATCTTTTGGAAATCTGTTTGTATCTGTTTTGTGGATTCCATTTGTTTCCTGTGTTGGGATTCCTTCATCTTCCTTAGCTCCTCTATTTTTTTAATCTGTGTCGGCTCTAGATTTATCTAGCATGTCTTGCACTATGGGCACAATCTCTGCTGTTATTTGAGAAATTATTTCTGATTTCATTTTTTCCAGATCCTCTCTTATTGCCAGTTCAGTGAGTCCAGGTGGTTGTGTATCAGGGTGTTTCATCTCCTTTCCCTTTGAGGTTGCTGTAGGTGATGTGGAAGTCTGGTTTTGAGGCTCGCTTATATGCCTTTTCATTTTGATGGTGTGGAGGGGTGCTATTGGCACCTGCGTGGCTCACCTCCTCTGGGCTGGGAGTGGTGGAATGTTAGCCTGGAAGCCTATTCCTCTGGGCTGGGAGCAGTTGAATGGCAGCCCAGAAACCCCTTCCTCTGTGCTGGTAGTGTTGGAACAGTGGCCTGGAAGCCCCTTCTCTGGGCTGGGAATGGTGGAATGGTGGCCAATAGAGTGTTATTTTTTAAAAGCTGACCGTTTTGTGGATTTTTGTTGTTGTTATTGTTGTTTTTGGAGACAGGGTCTCATCATATACTTCAGACTGACCTTGAACTCACTATGTAGGACAGGCTGCCCTGGAACTCATAGCAATACTCCTGCCTCAGCCTCCTGAATGCTGGGATTATAGGTGAGTGCCTCCATATCTGGCTGAACACCTAACCTTTTAGTTTTGAGATTCAGATTCCCACGCAGTTGTAAGATATAAATATTAGAGCCCTCTGTGCCCTACTGTATTCAAAATATGGACATTGATACAATCAAGGCATAGAATAGGCACATGACCATACTAATCCCTAGAACTGCCCTTTTAGCCACTATCACTTTCATCCATCTCTTTTCCTTTAATCTCTAACCTTAGCTAACTTCTAATCTCTTCTCCATTTCCAGATTTTCTTTTTCATTTAAATATTCTTTTTTTTTTTTGGTACCAGGGATTGAACTCAGTTCCTTGTGCTTACGCAGCAGGCGGCGAAGCCACTGAGCTAAATCCCCAGCCCCTCATTTAAATATTCTTAAGTGGATTCATTGAGTATTTAACTTTTTAGGGTTGACTTTTATACTCTGTAATTTCCTTGACATTGATCCAGACTGTTGTGTGGCTCAATATCCAGGCTGTTTTGTAAATGAAAATGTGTTTTTTTTTTTTTCTTTGCTTTTATTTCTGAGTATTTCTCAATATCTTTTAAAAACATTTGATAGAATTCAGCAGTCAACTCTTGGGTTAGGGTAAGTGGTTCAGGGCTATTCAGATTATCTCATTTTAGTTTAGTTTTGGTGGTTTGTGACCTTTGGGGAATCATTCCATTTCCTCTGAGTTGTTTAGTTTATGAGAAAAAAGTTAGTTATAATATACTTTATTTTCCTTTTTAAATAAATATAGGATCTGCTTTCATATGTCTGTTTCATTCTTAATATTTGTGATCTTTGTCTTTTCTCATTTCTTAAAATGTGTGCCAATTTTGTTAGAGGCTTATCAATTTTACTGGTTATTTAAGCTTGTATTTTGAATTTTCAATATCTTTGGTTTTTGCTTTTATCTTTATTTCTTTTCTCCTGGTATGAAGTTTATTTTACTCTTTCTTTTTTCTTGCGGTAAGAACTTAGATTACTAATTTGAGACATTTTCTCATTTGTAATATAAGCAGTGATTTCTATGGGTATCCTCAGCATTCTTTATATGAATCTCACATATTTTAATACATTGTATTTATGTTTTCATTCAGTTGTTACTTTTCTTTTCATTTCCTTTGAGTCTCTCTCTTTCATTCTCTCTTTCTTTTTTTCTCTTTCTGCATTACTGAGGACTGAACCATGAGTCTTCACACTGAACTTCACTATACCTAACCCTTAAGTTGCCCAGACTGGGCACTGTGATTGACTTGCAATCCTCCTGCCTCATCCTCTCCAAGGGCTGGGATTACAGGTATGCACTACTACTCCTGGGTGAGTCTTCCTCTTTGAGTGATAGACTATTTTTTAAATTTATAGTTTAATTTTTGACTGTTTAGACGTTTTGTTTTTTTTTTTAATTTCTACTTTGGTGTCATTGTGGTCAGAGACTATATTACTTTTTGTTGATAGGTTGGGGGTGAGGTGCAAATCACCTTCTTAGGTTGTGTAAGGTGACAGTGAAATGTCCACCCCATGTGGTTACTCCATTTCTAACATCTCTAACCAATTTACTTTCCTGTTTACACTTCTCAGAGTTCTCTTGTCTCTTGCATAATTTCCAGGGTCGACAATTGTACTTAACATGGAAGAGTGGAGGAAGAGATGAGACTGCAGCATTTTGTCTGGACTGGACATATCTTCATACCATTTTGTTTTCCTATTTTAAATATTGAATTACCTTGAAATTGGTTTTTAAAATGTGAAATGTTGTAGAAATTCATTTTGTTTGTTTGTTTCATTCAGATAGCGCTTGTCCTGGCCCAGTTTGTTATATGATTTCTCTTTTCTCCAAAGCTTTGCATTACTATGCTGCCATTTAATTAGCTTCCACATGTACACTCATTTGCCTCTGGGCTCTCCACTGCTGAATTTGTTTACTCCTGTGGCAATACCACACTTTTTTGTTATTATATTTCTTAGTAAGTTCTGTGTATCTGAAGGTGATTCTCTCAACCTTATTTTTATTTTTCAGAACCATTGTAGCTATTCCTATACCTTTCATTTTCTCTATAAATCTTAAAATAGCTTACCAGATTCCTTAAAGATTTTTTTCCTGTGGCTTTTATTGGAAATCTTTTATTGTTTTAAATCAGTGTGGAGATTCTAGCATTTTTAAGGAATTGGGTCTTTTAATGCATGAATGAGCATAGTTTATCACCTCATTTATTTGGACTGACTTTCTTCAGATATCTTTCAATAACACTTTTATTATTTTCTCCATACAGATGTGATACTTGTTGTAATGCTAAGTACTTCATACCTTTGCTGTGGTAAATGTTGTTTTCTAAGATAAATAACTTGTTCCTTTCTTGGCTTTGAGGCCTCCTTTGACAGAAATCAAGAGGCACCTCATAAGCTCAGAACAAGATCAGCCCTCTGTCCAAGAGCAGCAGTGGAGAGGAAGCTCACAGGCTTGGAGTGGGCCCACACTTCTGCAGGATACCACTGGCAGAAGATAGCCGAGTGCAGGAGCACTCAGAATAAGACCACCCACCTACAGCACATCTCACCTACAGCTGGAACCAAATGAGAGATTCTGAGAAACACACCCAATCCTGTTTTTCATCAACACCTACATCCTTTCTCCACATTCTTTTCAGTCCCCATAAGGATCTTATCGTTTATTCCAACACTCTAATTCTCCTTAAGACCTCTTGTATACTTTTTCTGGCCTACTTGCTCCTCCTCCTTCCTGCTTTCTGACTCTCCAGATTATTTATCTGTACTCACTGGATCTCAAATTTAGTGAACAGAATTCTCTGTTATTTCCATTTCCACTGTAAGTATTCTTACTGTCTTCTGTGCTAAAGCAAATCTAGCTTTCCTCTAGTGATTGTTCCTCCTGAGGCTAGTGGGGTTCTGATAAATGCTTAAATGATAAATCATCTCTCAAAAGAAAGAGGGGGGGAGAAGAAGGAGGAGGGGGGGAGCAAGAGTAGGTAGAGGAGAAAGGGATAAAGAAGAGATTGAAGAAGAGGTAAATATTTTCCCCACTCTATACTCAATTGTTACATTGGTCCTAGAGTTCAGATACATATTCCCCTTGCTTCTCCTTACTCCTTTCAGTTCTTCTCCCTCCCTCCTTTGGGAATGTATCATCCTTTAGATTTCACTATGGTCAGATTATCCCACTTACCATACTATTTTATTATAGATAGCTTTTCTATACTTACTTTCGTAAATTAAAAAAATAATTTTCACTTTCTTAAAAATGATTTCTGCCATAATATTCCATTATTTAAATATTTACACGGATGAGGCTTGTAACACTCTGGACTTTGAGTTCCTTGTCAGCCTGCTCCAGGATCCTATTCATTACCGATTCTCAGCCTCTCAATTCCACTGTTGTTTCCTAGGCCTTATTATTACCAATAACAGACATAATTTTTCATTTTTTGTTGCTTCCTTCTCATCTTCCTAAACTCTGCATGTTAAAGTATTATAATGTTTAGTTCTTAGACCTCTTCTGTTTTTAGTTGTCACTCCATAGGTGTGACATGGTTTTAAATTCTACCTATATTTTAATGCTTCTTTTATTCTCATTGTCTATGGAAATCTCTTCTGTGAAACCTAGTTTTATATATCTAGTTTCCTACTTGATACCTGCAGTTAGGCATTAATTTCTTAGTTACAGTTAGGTTTCCTGCAGTTTTTTTCACCTTAATTAACAGATACAGTTGCTGGCTAAAAAACCTCGAGTCTTCCTTGACATTTTTTTCTTGAGTTTTTTCTCTAAGACCTCACACTTTCTATTAAAATTAATCATTTTGGTTATAGCTTGGAAAATATCTATACTTTTGTCTTTTCCTCCCACCAGCACTATTGCTATTCCCCCTTTACCTTGGATTATTGAAAAATCCTCTTAACAACTCATTGATTTAGTGTTTGTTTTCCTTTAGTCTCTTTTACACACAGCTGCCAAAGTGAACTTTTAAAAACATGTCTATCCATGCCATTTCTGCTGAAAACTTTCCAGTGGCTCCCTGTCTTACTCAGAGTTACAGAGAATCATTGTAACCTCTGAATTCCAATGTGGTCTGTTCCTTTTTATTTCTTTGTTAATTTATCCTGCTACTACTCTCTTGTCTTTGACTCATTTGCTGGCTTCCTGAGTGTCTGTAGAAAACTCTAGATGTGCCCTTGTCTTGAGGGTTTCACACTTGGGATATTTCTTCCTGGATTTGTTTCTCTTCCAATATTGGAACAGCTTCTCCCTTTCCCTTCCTTTTAAAATGCCCGCTGTTTAAGGAGACCTTGCATAGCCACCCAGTCTTAATTTTCATGCTGCCGGTCATTCCCTGACACTTGTTGGACCTTTTTCCTGCTTTATTTACATACCTTTCCTTATATATTGTGTTGTACTCATTAGCTCCTTTGTTATATCACTTTCCACTGGAATGTAAGCTTCACAAGAGCGGGATATTTATCATTTTTATTCAGTGCTATATTCCCAGTGCCAAAAATAAGTCTGGTAAGTAGTATCTCATATTTGCATTTGCAAGAGTGCGTAAATGAAAACCAAGTGTTCTGTTGTTGCATAGACATGCATTTGCTTATTAGGAACTGGCATGAGTACAGTGACCTTGCTGAATTACAGTTTATAAGTTTTAAAAATATTTTCCTTGTAAATGATGATACTCTCTGACAATGAAAGTTATAATTTTCCTTTTCTAACCCTCAAAAATTTTCTTTTCTTATTTTATATGTTGTTTATGATCTTCAAAAAATAGTTAAGTAGAAGTAGTTACAACAGGCACTTATCCTTTTTATGATTTTTAAAGGGAATGCCTCTGAAGTTTCAACAGAAGGAATATTTATTGTCTTTGATACATATTCTTTATCAGGATTTTTAAAAAGGACCCCTTTAACCACATTTGCTAAGTTTGTGATTTATCATGAATATACATTCTTCTGGTAATAAGTGAATGATAAAATTTAAAATTATTTTTAAGTATTGTGATTGTATATCATTATTGTAGATTAAATTTTCTGCTTTTTAGATGATTTTTCTCTAAAAATACTTTAATGTGGCAAATGACATTATGAATTTTCTACAGTAAACATCCTCTCTAGGATAAAGTTAATATTTCTTTCACATTATTTGATTAATGTATTACTATATCTATTTTTATTAATATGTTATTTTATGATTAAAACTGGTTGGTCTTTAATTTCTCTATAGTTACTGCCTTATGATTTTTGTATAGAGGGAATACTTCTTTTCTGTTCTTTGAAAGAGTTTTTATCCTATTGAAGACCTGTCCTTAAAAAGTATAGCAAAAATCTTCTGTAGAACTAATTGGAACTGTTATGGACAGATTTTATAATATGTATTCTAATTTCTTTTTAATTCTTTGCACAGAATGTAACAAAAGTTAGCTGAAATTAAGCAGACTTGAAAATTGAGAATATAATCACTTGGTTTA